GATTTTTTCAGTCACATGGGATCTTTTTGCTGTCATTTTCGATCCGTTCTTGGTGAAACTACTTCCTTTTTTCGCCTCTGTTTCACCTCCCAACTTTTCTTTTTGCCAACTTCGAAGTTTATTATCTTTACTGCACAGGTCTTGCACTTCATATCCGTAGTTAGGAGGGCGTGGCTACGCCCTTCATCTGAACATGTATTAGGGTGAGAGCGCAATCCACGCCCTCTCAGTTCCAAGATATGGAATGTATATTTCGGCTATATGCTTATGTTCGTCGTCGCTGATCATGGATGCTTGAAGCGTATACTCGATTTTTCCGTTCGTGTCCCTTTGTTGCTTCCCTTCTCGCTCACCTTCTCATCTCAATTACAGGCAATCATGGTTGTTCTTTCTGCGAATATTGAAATGTTGCACCAGTGCCATGCGAGTTGAAACTCGAATCGGGTCGACATATTCGTTACGTGGCGGCAAAAGATGCGAATCCACGCAAGGAGATCAGCGGAGGCGGCACTTTTGAGAACATCGAGCTTCCGCAGAGAAAGAAGAGCAGTACTTCTGAAGGTAAGCCTGAGAGGATTTTTGTTGAAAATCAAGTCAGCCTACAATCAGGAATGGAGAATTTTTGTTGAAAATTTAAACTCCTTCGGCAAACTCGTCGCAAAGGAGGGTCCCTTAGCGTTCCACCGATTGATTTTATCTCTCAATGTAGCGTAATATCTAGTCAGGCTATGGTGTTTGTCGTTTGTGAAGCCCAGCGTGGCAGACTTTCGTGAATGACGCGCGTCACGCGGGCTGTAGTGCTGCTATAGCACGCGGTCGACGGCGCGTCTTCTTACGTGTACAGGCGGTCTGTGCGGTCGTCGCAAAACTTTGAATGCTGCCTATTTGCGAAATAAGGCCTCTCAAGTAACGGGTTTTCGGAAGATCGGCGTATAAGATTTTCGGTTAGATCGAGTGTGTTCGCTGGAGACGGTTCTATTACTACTCTGGAGAATTGTAGTTTCTTTCAAATTCCAGCTTTCCACAATTGAAAAAGCTTCTTCGTCATGACCGGGTGACGGCAGACAGCCAACAAGATGTTTGCTGCGTTGTTGTAACAATTGCTTTCCGATTAAAATCAAAATAAACCCGTTTATTTGCTATCAGCGTCAGACATGAACTGTCATTTCTCGGGGGTAAACAGCAGTCACGTTGGGTACTAGCGAACTATGACCCGATAGAATATTTGCTCTGGGGCTGAAATGAATAAGTAATATTGTTCTGCGATAAGAAATACCCTTTGAAAATGACGTAAGATAATAACACCACGACTGAAAAATACCTGGTCAGTGGAGTCTGCAATCTTTGCCAAACCAAAACGCATCGCCCCTCCTCAAAATGTCACCCACGTGGACTAGTGAAGGATTGAGTGATGTACTCGAGCCACAAAATACAGTCCTACATTCCCTGTAGAAGAAGGAGCGCTCTATTTGCCTCTATGCCTGGGCGTCCCCCTGCAGTCAACGCCCTAGTCCCCTGCGGACGAAAGGGGCGTCGGTAAACGGGAGGAGTTTGGCACGGTGCCAAACCCGTTCTCTACATCTGCTGAAGCGAGGAAGTGACAAGACTGTATCATGTGTTTCGTTATCTACCAACTTTTGTCGCATACACGCTTCCACAACTTGTAGAGAACGGATTTGGCGCCGTGGCCCACTCATATTGCCTGACACGCCCCCTCGTCCGCAGCGAACTAAAGTATACGTCTTTTTCTGTATCGGCAACTTTGCAGCCAAGTCTGTGGACACTCCCACTCTAATTTGAGATACGAACTTTACATGAAGAAGTAGTTCTCCACCGTGATCCATTTACGGCAACAATATATTCATGTTTACCAGTTGAGAATCGGCTGCAAATGGCCAGTTCAAGAGGCAGTTTAATTAGTCTCTGACATTTTCGTTTTTATTACTAGCGGCGTCTATTAATAACGTAAATTACTTTTTTAAGTATAATGCAGTTCAGAAGTTTCAATGCAAAGATAATTTTAAGTCACTGACAATCTATAGCCATAGATGAAGGTTTATTGGGCCGATACAGGACCATGCCCGAAGAGAAATCAAATGAATAAATAAATTAGCGTAATAAAAACGTGAAGTTTCAGGTGTCGACCAAAGTGTGCTCTGGGAGGGAGTTAACACACTCTGCCAGGTGATGGATGCTATTGTCGAGTCAGAAATGGAAACGGATTTCTTTGAGGGAAAAGACGTACTTGAGGTGAGTGTTCATTTTCGTCCTCGAGGCACGGTTAAACAGAGTGTGAACGTACTCAAATGTCTGAAAATGTATTCATCTCTGGGAATGTGCCCTTAATAATAATAATAACCTCCCATGGTGTATTAGGAAACATACCACCGCAACCTGGTGAGGCTGAACAAAGGAGAGGACGAGCGCGTCTTCGTCAGCTATAAAGGGACAGAGGGAGGGGATTACGTGAACTATCCCTAGTGCTCTAAAAAGCTTTGCTGAGGAAAAGAAGTACATGAGAACGTGAAGAGTGATCTGATGCTATCTCGAGTACGTAGCCATCGAGCATATGTTCTTTGTTGTGCCGGATGCGAAAGCTCAGAACTTTCCGTCTGTAAAAACAAAGGTATGTTATTCGTATTTACGTCCTAGGACTCGACAGATGAATTACCATGCCAGGAACAGGCGCATCTGTAAGAGTGGGCGATCATCGTCAGAACGAAATAATAAAATGTGTGACGAGGAGGGTGGGGGTTGTCAGTTGGTCGGCAAGCCGCACGCAAAACCAGTCGGGTATTCCCTATCTAGTTCACTTCGCACACAACAACTTAGAAATATTGAATGGATTAGGTGCTTAAGCGCATGGCATGCACGCGAGCCGAAGCCCGTTTGGCCGCTCTCGCCGCAGAATGGAATTCAAGACCCTTACTCCGTGGGAATGTGGTAGAGTGAGAGGTACACCACCGGCTGCTTAAAATTAATACGCTGAATTGAGACGAAGCTTTTCTCTGCACTGACTATACAGTGATTCTTCCACCTATAACTATGACTTTTTTTGCTCAAAATATAGGCAGAATTTTCATGTTTCTCTAGGCAAGAAAGATAATAAATTAATGAAAGTGTTGCAGATTGGATTCGCGACTGGTCTCCCATCTGTCTACGCCTACGAAAATGGCGCTGCCGAAGTGGTACTGCACAGCAGTGTAAGTCATTACTTCTACTCTTGAGTAGCTCTAAGTTCACTTCAGAAGATATGGCGCTATCCCAATGTGGCGGGACAGATCGATACAGAGCACGTTAACGTAGTTCGCGCGGGTGGAGGGTTGATGACTTCTAGGTCGAGGCTTTGTATCTTTTCTACTTTTCCCGAAAAAGGACGAAAAAGTCGTCTTGAAGCGCAGAGAACGATTCGCATGGGTATAGTCCCGCACAGAAGCGATAGTCTCCAGTCCCAAGTTTTAGTCTCCTTCAAGCCTAACCTTTGGTTAGGGGAAGGGATACAGAGGCAC